GGGCTGGATCTCCCCCCACATGGGCCATGTCCACTACCAAAACTAAAACCTTCTGGCCGCAAACTTGTGTTTTCATTTCTATTTCACCAACTCGCTCCCCGAAACTCCACCCCTGCCCGAGTACCTGTGCAAGTCTCTAAAATACACGTCAAGCTTCTTACCAAAGGTAGCCAGTGACATCTCAGTGGGAATAGCTACAACAATTATAACCAGATTGGAAGGAAGTATTGGAGTGCCCACACCATGGGACGCACTCTCCTAAGTGCGTTCTATGTTCCAATCACTCATATCTCCATGACCCCTTCATAAGACACTACTGAATTTCCAAATTACAATTGAAAAACTGAGGCACAGAGACGAAATGCTTTGTCCAATCTCAAAAACCAGGAAATGACGGAGCGGGAAGGGAACCCTCACTTGGCTTTAGTTTCTCAGACCAGATCTGCTAAATCTCAGGTGGTGCCGCAGGAAGCTTTCGGCTCCTCTGCTGTGGGCTGCCGCCCTCACTTGCCCAGCTCCCCCGGCTATGTATTCACGCCCACCATGAGTTTCTGTTGGCATCACAAAACAAATGCCAGCAATCTGATCTGCTGGGTTCATTACCCTGTAGGATGTCCATGAAGTGTACAGCCAGTGTTGGGATGATCATGGCACAGGGTGCTCTAAAGAAGGGGTCAGTGGAGAAATGAGCGAGCAGGTGAGAGATAAACTAGGGTAAACACGTGTGAACCCGCAGGGGCAAAGTTTTTTCAGGCACAAAGAATGCAGGGTCCAGGTAAGACAGTATACACCTGTGATCGCAGAACTTGGGGGGCTAAGGCAGGAGGCCATGCCGAGCGATGCAGGGAATTCACAGCCAGCTTGGGTTAGAGTGAAGCAGTGTCTCAGAGACAGACAGACGGACAGACAGATAGAGACAGAGAGAGTGAGTTAGAGGGACGGTGTGGGTTGGAACAGAAGACCAGGGCTCAAATGAGGGTCTGAATTTACTTCCTCTGTGGCTCTGACAGGTCCTGGCCAAAGCCTAACCCTGACTGTCCTCCTGTCTTCACTGAAGACCACAACCGTGACCACTGAGGTTACTGTGTGGCCACGTGCTGGCGAGGCACTGGCTGTGGGGCTGGGCTAGGGACAAAGTCTTGCAGGACAGCCAGTGCAGTTGGCTGCCCGCTGTCCCAGTGCTGTGTAAAGTTCAGGGACTGAGAGCTGGTACCCAGCTGCTCCAGGACCACAGCTGGGACTTGGTTCCCGCAACCTGGTAGCCCACCTGTTGCTGCACAGCCCCTGAGCCTGCTCTGGGCTCTACTCTGGAGGAATGTCTCTTGCAGAGCAGGCCAACCTCTGACCTTGGTGACATGCCACGTGTTCTCTCTCCCACCCGCCACCTGCCCTCCCGCATCATCATCTTACCAGAGTCCAGCAGCACGCAGCTCTCTCTCCTGTAGATTTGGCAGAAGAATCAGACACACCCAAGCTGGCACCCTGGGTCCTGAATTCAACCCAATCACGGGCAAGTTACTAGCTTCCCAAGGGCCTCGCATCTGTAAAATAAAGGACAGGAGAGGGAGCCAGGATGTGGATTCAAGTCAGCATGGACATCCCAGTTGTTGGCCATGTAAACTGTCATTAAACGCCCATTCCCTCTTTCTCTGCTTCTGGGCTAGGATTCATGCAGGAAAAGCACTGTGTCTGGCACATGGGGTCGAGAAACGCTTTTCAGAAACCGTCTCCCACGTCAGAATGGTGTGTGTTTCCCTGCACTCCGCAAAGCTGGGCCTTGGCCAGGGTGTCTTGGGTTGAGAGTCCTGGACTCACAGAAGAGTGCCACCTAGTGGACTGGCCGCCTGCAGGGCCCCCTGTGGGTCCCCACCCACCAGAGCATGCTACTGGGCAGCTGAGCTAGAAGCTGTGAGGTCCAAACAGACCTGGCCCCCTAAACTGCAGGCTGCCTTTGGTGAGAAGTGATATGTGCACAGTCTTAATCATTCGGGGCCATGAACAGCCAGGGACCTTTGTTTAGTGGATAATGGCGAGTTTTTGTTTTGTTTTGTTTTGTTTTGCCTACCCCAGCCCAACTCTGCTTTGGAGGTTTCTGGGGAAAAGGAGAACTCTAGCAAGCCAGTCTGCTGAGAGTGTGGCATGTATAAGACAGGTGGCAAAGGCTTCACAGGTATCACCACCAACCCTCAGGAGCCCCAGGAGACACTCAGAACTTGTCTACTGTCCCTAAGAAAACAGAGGCCTGTTTCTGACCTAAGGTCTGGACAGATGTTCAAATCCCAGCATGTGTAAACCACACTCACCTTCTGGAGCCCAGGAATCTTTAGGAAGTATGGAAGACAGTTTGGACACAGACTTGACCACACCAACTGTACGAGAAGTGGGATCCCATCCGGGACACCTGAAGGCGGGACGAGGGCTGCAGGATAGTAAAGACATGCTGTTAATTTTTCACTGTGATGCTGGCGTGATGCTTGTATTTTTGTGAACAAAGAGAGTCCCTTTTTAGAGAAACATACTTAGAAAATGCTCAGAGGGCCCTATACACGGTGTCTGGAAATTGCTTCCAAACAGTTCTGCGGGGAGTGGGGGAGCATGGGGTATAGTGTGGCGTGCCTATAAGGGAAATGAGAGAATGGGATTTAAGAGCAACTATCAGGTGCCAGCAGTATAAAAGTTAAAACTGTGGTTTTGAAAACTGTTATTTCACCTATTATTGTGTTACTTGAAATTTTCCATAATAAAAGGTTTTTTACATCTACAAGTAAAAAAAAAAACACATAAAAATGCAGGAGATGAGCAGGTGGGATGCTCAGAGGATTTGAGAGCAAAAAGGGGCGTACGCTGCAGCTCAACGCTGGGGGCTGATCACCCTGGAGCAGCTGCCAGAGGGGCAAGTCACTCCCAGTCGGGTGACCCCAGTATACCAACACCCACGAGCGCTTCCCAACCCTCCAGTCCCCAAAGCTAGCTCTAGGCTGGCCGTCCTGCCCCTCGAGCACCCCCAGACCCGGCCCTAGCTCTGAAAGGGCATCTGTGGGCATCTGTCTTCACCGCAGACTGGACACCTGATGCATCTTTCCCTGGGATGCTACCATCGGTGTGTTTACTGCGACAACGCTGTCACCCGTCAGACATGCTTCCAAGGAAGACCTTAGAGTGGTGGGTACGGCCATGTGGGCAGGCTTCTGCTGTCTGGCCCCCAAATACCTTTTTGCTTTTGTTTTTGTTTTCGTTTTTGTCTGGGGGTAGTTGTTTGTTATTGTTGCCTTTGAAGATGTACAAAAATTAGTGTTTATTTCCCTAAAACTGTGTGTCAAGCTTTCCCAGCCTATTCAAGCCCTTCTCTTTACTGTCACAGTGCAGCAAAGTAGGCTGCCTGGGGTCCTCGCCCACCTTCCAGGCCCCTGCTGACCACAGCCGTGCCCTGTGTGTCCTCCCTTCACTGGGCTTCTGCAGCAGCCAGAGTCCTGGTCCCTGGGCTTCCGGCTTCCCAGGCCCCAGCCGCGCAGCCACTGCGCACGGGCAGAGCCCCAGTGTGCTGCTGCCCTCAGCCTCCCTTCCCGCTTTGGGAAGGGACGCCCGCCCGCCTGCACGCCCGCCGGGCAGCTCGGGCAGCTCCGACCCTCCGGGCAGCTGCTGCGGCGCGTCTCTCCATCCGCCCTCCCTGGCGCCCCCTACCCAGGACGCGGTCGCCCCAACTGCCTGCCCACTCACATCTGCCGCTACGCAGCCGAAGCCAAAGCTCCGGCCCCTCTGGACGGCTCCCCCTCCTCACTTTCCTATGGACTCAAAAGTGTGGCCCAGGCAGCCCCCTTGTGGCACTTGGGGGCGCCACAGACTCTTGGCTCCGGTCTGAAGAATTCAGACTGTTTCCACCGCACCGTGAGTTGGCACAAATCTTCAGTGGCCCAAGTCCTGCCGGATGCAGAGCTCCACTGCGCCGCTGCTCTGAGTAGGGGGCACAGCTCTCCCCTTCCTCCCCATCCACACTCCTCCCTCCTCCCCACCGGAAGGGAAGGGGCGCCTGCCGGCAGACGGCAACGCTCCTGTTGAATATTGCTTTGACAAGCAGACAGGTGTCTGGCAGCTGCAGCAGTGGCCAGGAGACACTGTGGGGACAGGGTCTTTGCCAGTGGTGACGTTTGGTTTCCATCTCTAGCTCACAGGTGGGGATCTAAGGTGAGAAGGGCCCGAGCCCCTGTGTGAGTCAAAGGAAGGGCTGGGGACCCTCTGCCCACCAGTGGACGGAGCTTGGGGCACTTCTCTTAGGCCAGGGGCTGCCCCTTGAAGAGGTGCCCACTACCAGGCACCCAGCTGTCGACCCTCCAAGCTGGCTCTTTCCACTGGGTTCCCCGGAGGGCCCCTGGATGCCCCCCCCCACGCTCTCCAACTCACTGTCCACATAAACAAACCCCAGACCCCCTCTGTCTCTACCTGCAATCTGCTTGCAGACAGGCAGAGCCCTCTCTACGTCAGGTTAATAATGCCATTTTCATAAGCCTCTGCCCATAGGTGCTAACACCTAATTTTGAATCTGCCCTTCAAACGGATTGGGCCACAGAGGAGCTGGGATCTCAAGCACCGCTGGGAGGTGCTTATAACTAATCAATCCATCCCCTGCCCACCCACACCCCCCAGCACTCAGCACAGCCTCGCTGAGCTGTCTCCAGCAGCAGGGTGTGGTGGGGAGCCTCGGAGAGCTTGGGCTATCTGGCCTCTCACCAGCTGGCAGTCGGTGAGTATGGGATTTTGCCTTTCTGTGCCTCAGTTTCTACATCAATCAAATGGGGATCTTAAGAGTTGAGCTCTGGCTTATCGGGTTCCAGACAGAAAGCCCAGCTTAGGACTTACAGATGAGCCTGCACAGATGTTTACTGCTACCACTCACCCTGATCCCTTTGATCTGGAGTGCCTCCTGACTGCTCCCTATCTCTTTCCCCAACAGACCAACAGAGCTCAGGGGACAGGAAGCCGACAGGCATCTCCTCCTCCCCGGCGTCACTCTTGGTAGACTACCCGACCGGCACCTCCTCATCCCCAGATCCACTCTCGGTCCGACCGTCCGACAGTCCAGACAGTCCGACCAGCATCTCCTTCTCCCCAGCTTCAGTCTCCTCTCGGGTCCGAGCCCGGGGAAGGTAGGTACCCTACGATGTGGGAATGCAGGGAGGGTGGTTGTCCCCACAGACTAGGGGATGCCTGGACCCCTCCCAGAGCAGGCCCTTCAAGCAAGTGGCAGGGGAAAATGTTCCTTTATGCCTTGATGCTCTATCTCGGGTGTTGTATTATACAATGCAAATTCTAGGGTCTATTAAATGCAGATGTGGGCTCTGCGTGTCATTCCTGCCGCCTGCTGCATCTACTGTGAGTTTTGCAGGCCAGGGGCTGCCCCCGGCTGACTTGATTTGCGCGATCAAGCCGGCAGAGGGGTCTCTGCCAGGAGAAGCTCTGTTTGCGCGCGCAACGCAGGGTCTTAAAAGGCTGTGCTGTTTCTCTCTGCTGACACTTGTTACATGCGTCTCTCCCTCCCCTGCGCCCACCGTCCACTCCACGAGCACGGATGAAGACTGATGGACGCTGGGCTACTCTTATCTCACAGTGCCCCCACTCTAAGCTGGTGAGAGAGAAACTCTCATCTCCATGTCACAAGGGAAAACCTGAGACTCTGACAAGTAAAGGGAATTTGCCATGGTCTCACAGCTCACAGCGCAGGAATCCAGCAGGTCTGTCTGGCTGGAGCCCCCACCCGGCTGTCGTTGCCATGCCGTGCTGCTCAGGGCCAGGCGGCCAGCAGCTCCCCTGGAAAAGGCAGGGGACCTGGCATAGAGAGCTTTCTCCCTGGCAACTGGCTAGGGGCTGTAAAAAAAACCCAAGAGGGCTCAGAGCAGATAAGATACAGAGCAGCTCGGGATGTGAGTGTCCTGCCTCCCCCACCCCAGGACTTCTGTCACCGTAACAAGCCAAAGGGCTCTGTCCCAGGTTAAGCCCAGGAAAGGAGCCCCAGACAGGTGTGGAGGGAAGCCTCTCCCCATGGTGCTGGGGATCTGGTTATTAAGAACAGCCCCAAGAGGAGAGAAAAGGTTGCAAGCCTGCTGCTTGCACAGAGCTGAGGGCAGAGGGGCAAGGGGGCTGCCATGGAGCCACAGAGGCAGCTGGGAAGGATGGGGAGGGCTGCGCAAATCGGCTTGGTACGCAAGCCTGTGGGGAGGGAGGCTGGGGAGGGAGGGAGCTTGGGTGGCGGGAAGCATCTCAACAGGGAGGCCTTCATCAGGCACTCACGTTGCTAAGGCCAGAGGAAGCCAGTGGGGCTGGCCATGGGGGACTGCAGGGCTGAGGGTAAGGAGCCATGACCTTCGCCCTTAACCATGTCTTCTACCCCAGGACAAACAGCACAGGCACAGGGATCACTGGCAGGGCGCTATGCCCCAGTAGGGCAGAGAAGGGGGGGATTGCAGAATGGAGGCTTACACCTGGGGAGGAAAAAGGGAAGGCAGCTGCGCCCAGCCAACTCCCCAGAGGCCAGCCACCTGGAACAGCTGAATATCTACCCCACTCCCTGGCCCAGACCAGCTGTGGCAACAGGTTGCCACACAGGTGCAGGGAACAGAGAGGGAGCTGGCAGGTTAAGGTGCCAGCAGGACGTGGGAAAGCAGAACCACAGCCCCAGGTCGAGCTGGCTGTGGGGCTGAGACTTGTGAAAGCCCCCTCCTCACAGACACCCGAGTGCAGGGGCCCAGTGGGCATGAACTCAGCACACACCTGTGGGGCTCATGTTCCCAGGGGTTGCAGATGGATGAGGTCTCCCTCTCCAAGGACCTCTGCTAGCCAAGCCTGTGTTGTGTGGCTTCTAAAGGCAGTGCTGGTCTTTGTTTCTCATGCAGGCACTCGTGCTGACATGCGTGCGTGCGTACGTGCGTGCGTGTTTGTGTGTGTGTCTGTGTGCACACACATGCATCTGCACGCAAATGCACACAGACAACTTTGAGGCCGGCAGGGGTATCTTGTCTATGCAATGTGGGGAGATCTGGTTAATCCTTAGGAGCAAGGATGCACCCCCACGGGACAGAAGGATTCCAGCGGGGTACAGTAACTGAGGCAAGGGCCCTCCTAATAGGTACCTGACTGTCCTACTGCCCGCAGCCCATGGCCAGCCTAGGGAAAAGCACAGCTGCTCCGCCCGCCGAGGGGGGGCAGCATCGAGTCGCCGGTGAGCACGCAGGACGCCTTGCAATGGGCCCTGACTACAGCCGGGTCGCCCACCCCCGCGGCTTTCCTGGTGCCTCAGGGTCTGTTGTCTTGTCCAGGCTGCGTTTTAATGTATTGAACAATTGGTTTGAAACTCCGGGTGTTGACGTTTGGGAACATGACATTTACACGTGCGCTGCGCCCCTGAGGCACCGCACGGGGAGGGGGCGCAGGGGACAGGGCGCGGCCAAGAGGCGCCCGCATGTGAAACCCGGAATAAACATTTCCGCCGGGATGGGAGTGGGCTCCGAGGGGCTCTGGCGTGAGTTGCAAATGTCATTTCCTCGACTCCCCCTCCCTGGTCAAGCGTAGAGGCCATAGAGGGCAACACGTCGCGTGGCCCCCATGGGACAGGGAGGGGACACTTTGGCGCCCTGCCTCCAGTGACACCCACTGACTGGGGCACGTAGGGGATTTAAGGAAAAGGTTCTCAGCAGTCAGCACCCAGGCGACTGCAGAGAGCAGGGCTGGGAGACACAGCTGCAGAGAAACACCCCGGTGAGACTCGCACCCCGCCAGGCTCCCGCTCCAGAGTAAAGAACCCCCGAAAGTCCAGGCGACAGGAGACTCTGCGCGCCACAGCCGGCGGTGCGCGGGGGCAGTGTGCGACCCCAGCTCCAGGACCTCGAGCTCTGCGCCTCTCGCTCGCGCCCTCCCGTCCTCCAGGGAGCAGTCTCTGAGCCGCTGAGGTAAGATCAGGTGGACCCAAGAGTTCTACCTGGAGTGATGCCCCCCTCGAAACTGACTGGAAACACTGTTCCTTCCCACAGCCCCCTGCCAAGCCCTGGAAAACATGAGCCTGAAAAACCCTGCCCGCGAGCAGTCTGACTTTTCATATATATTTATACGAAAAATGAAATAAACTCAGACCAAACTTTTCAGGAGAACCGGATGAAAAGCGGCAGGGGCAGCCCCTTCCCTGGCCCCAGGGGTCTGCAAACAGGCGCAAACTGGCTGCGCAGGGCGGGGCGGGGCGCGCGCAACTCGCGCGGGAGGTCGCTGCATTTTCCCTTGCGCGCTCTTTTTTGTCTCCCCCCACCCTGTTTGGTCTCATGAGCTCTGAAAAGAAGGGGTGCCCCTGCGGAGGGAAGGGGTGCGCTCGGGAAGCAAGAAATGCAAGAGTTCGCGACGTTGTGGGGTTCTCTGCGCTGGCTACTGTGCGGGATGATTTATCTGCGCGATTTTCTCGTTGAGGTCTCGGTCACCCTATTTGAGGGGGGGCAACTATGATTTTCTTATTCTTTTCTCTCTTTTAGTGTCAGGAAACCAAGGCACAGAAACACTTGGGGACTTGCCCAGGACACACAGCTCTGTCTCTGCTCTGTAGCTAGGTTTGAGCTGGGAATGGCTGGTTTGTTGCCCTGCCCGCCCCCACCTGCCAGCTGGGGAAAAAGGAGGACCATCCCCTGGACACTTGTAAGGACTGTCATTCCCCCAGGATACACGCGCATAGAGACACGCGCACAGAGACACACACCCAAACCCATGCACTTGCCTGCAGACGGAATCCTCTGTCCCAGAGTCACGGCCATGCAGCATCATGACCCCTGGGCCCCTCTGCTCTCTCCCTTGTCCCAAAGGGAGCAGTATCTGCTCCCCGCCCTGTCCTGTCCCAGAGCCCTCTTCCTCATCCCCTCCAGCCCAGGACCAGAGTCATTTATTTGCCTCTGATAAGCAGCAGTCACAGACACAGCCAGGCATCTCCAGGCTGCAGTCAGGCATGACGCAGTGTTGCAGAACTCCCCGAACCTGGGGTCCCTCTGCCATGTGGCTGGTGACCAGGGTTCTGACCCAGTGGCTCAGAGCAGTGTGGGGCAGCGAGGGGGTGGCAGCCTGTCCCTCCCAAGAAGGCACATGTGATTAGCATTACAGGGGTCACAGACTCACCCACCCAACCCTGCACCTCACCACACCTCTGACCATGACCATGAGTCCAGGAGAGACAACAGGGTGGTCCTCAGGGAAACTGAGTCGGCGTCAGGTGGCTCTGGAGAGGGACAAAGGGAAGGGGGTGATGAGCGTTTTGTTTGGCCATGGCTGTCAGTTTTAGAAGAATGCAAATATTCTGTTAGATTATGACATAGTGTCGATGAGGCTTGATGGTTCCAGGAACAGTGCTCTGGTGGAGTGGACAGCTGGACACAGAGGGGCGCAGAGCTAGACTGCGCCTCTCAGAGGATTGGGCTGGGCTGCGAGGCAGGGAGCCCCCAGCCAGACCCTGACAGAGGGGATTCGGTGCTAGGCTATGGCTATTTTTTTTTCCCTTTTGTTTTCTCTGCATTTTTATTTTTTTACTTTATTTCTATATTTGTTTATTTATTTATTTATTGGCCCAGAAACCAGGACTGATGAAGGCAAGACAGAAACAAGGGCAAAGTGGCATTTTAGAAAGATCGATGGATAAAAACAAACTCTACAGACCGTTTAACCCAGCTACCCCACCTCTAAGAAGTTAGGGTACACGCAATCAGGGCTGTGTGTCTAGATTAGCCACAAGGATGCTCTCTGTAGTGTCATTAGTGATGACAAAAAGTGGGAACAGATTAGATCTGTTTCATCAGGCATCAGTCCAACAGAATCCTATTAATTAAAATGTCAGCTTGTGACATGTCCTCCTCACTAATCTCTGCAGAGACTTCCTTTTATTTCTGTACATTTTTATTTATTTACTTTTAAATGCTAGCGTCGATCCCCTCAAACCCATAGTTTAACCCTGCCGACCAGGACTCGGACCAAAGCCTCTGCCTGCACACATGCCCTCGCCAGGGGACATACAGCTGCAGTTTTCAACAATAGAGGAGGTGGCACTCAACAATGCTGCGTGCCGACCCCGGAATATTAAACAGCTCTTAAAAAGAAGGGAACAGCCGAGACCTATTGTCCTTTCATGGACTCGGTATTTCGTGCAGAACTCAATCACAATAAACGTAATCTGGTCTTTGGTCCAGGAATATCCCTTTTTACTCTGCTAATGTATGCATTCACATACTCGCTTGGAACCCTGTCCCCAACAATCAGAAGCCCACTCACCAAAGCCAGACCTCAGCAACTACTTACACCTGCATGCGCGATCCGCCCCCAGCAGGGAAAGGACCCGAGGCTTTCAGGCAAGGCAGCAGAGAGGTGGTTAAACAAATTCGGGACCAAAGCGCTGTTAAGAGGAATGGTGTTGATCTTTATTATCTCCCGCCAGCTCCTGGAGGGAGGAAAAACCAGCTGATGCAAACGCTAAAGGAAATGCACACTGTGCTATAGCTTATAGAAAAGAGAAACAAAACTAGTGTGTGTGAGTGCTGTATTTACATACATCTGCGAGTGCACGAGAAATAGTGTGCACCTCGAACAACGGTTATAGCAGCAGTTAATTGGGGGAGGCTGCGGTGGAGGAAGGGTTAAAGACGGCTTCGGCTTCTTTGCATGTCTGATTTTTACTAATGAGTACATTAATTATCAATGCATTTCTTGTATAATTAAAATAAACATTTTGTGGGGGCTGGAGGGGGGCTGTGGGACTGTTTGTTTTCGTTGGTTACCGTTTTTTTACAGATGCAAAGAGCAGTCCAACTGATGAATTAGAAGCAGGTTGCGTATGCCCAAAGCAAGTTCGAGAAGCACAAGGGGTTTCTGTTGTTATCGTTCCGTTTTTAATTTCTTACGCTCTGATGCTGGAGCCCCTGGCCTCTGGGTGGCCTGCTGTGACAGGAGGCCAGCAGGTGTGTGCAGGGGGCTGTGATTTCACCACGGCCCCCAGCCCCAAACTCCTCCCCAGCCACCCTCGTGTCAGGCAAGGCTGCAGTTCACCCACGAGGGAGCGCTTCCCTCTTTGGTCTCTAAGAGGCCCCAAAGCTAATGGGTTGGTCCATGTTCTCAGGGATTATAACTCCAGGGAGATGTGACATGAGATGGGTCCTAAAGAAGGGACACAGGGCTCTAGAGAACAGGGACACAGCGGCTTGCATGCGTCAACAGCCCAGCCAGCTTGCTGGCAAAGAGCCCGCCAGAGGAGCTGCTGCTGGATTCCTGGGCAAAGCACAGAACAGCCATGCTTCCTCCCTGATGCTCTCCCAGGGGGACCCATAGCGCCTCAGGAATAGGCAGAAAGCGGGTGGGTCACTGCCCAGCTACCTCCACCTCTGGGTGCATGTTGCGTCCCGACACCCCCCCCAGGAAGCCCTTTTATCTCGAGCACCCCACATCTTGCTTGCACATGAAGCTGCAAGGCTGACCGCCTAGGCCCCCTGCAGCTGTCACAGACTGTCAGCGTCCCTGAATGCGCACTCAGCCAGGCTGTGACAAGGCTGCAATGATTACGCTCTCATGTGCAGCAAAAGATGTGTAGCTGGGAAACCCAGCGTGAAAAGCTGAGCCCATGCAAACCGCTGGTCTCAGCCTCGGCCGGCTTTGTTCTGGCCTCCATCTGCACAGACCACTAATTAATTAATTGGTGAAACATCTCTCCTCTGAGTTCATGCAGACAGGGCCTTTGGAGGACTTTGCTCTCCCTCTGCCAGGCAGAGACCTATTTTCAACCGTGACTTCGTGCCACAGATATGAGACACAGGTTAACCAGTCCTTTTCCCGTGTATCCAGACCCTAATTGCCACTCTCACACAAGAGGCACTGCTATTTATTGCAAGGCATTTTATTACAGACTGCCTTCAGTCCCTAATAAAATACCTTAGTGATAAGCAAAAAGAAAACTAAGACACCCAGACAACAAGTACCTGCATCCAAACAACAAGCTAGGGAAATTCTACATGGAGTCGGCCGCCCCTCACAGCCCCCTCGCAGCAAGGTAACGGTCCTGGGTCGTTTCCAGAAAATGACCCCTGCAGCCCTCCACCACCATCCCTCTTCCCTTGAAATTCTCAAATCAGAGAAGGGCTTTCAAAGGGACCCTGAGGGCAGAGACCAGCTAAATTAAGAGCTACCCACCTATAATGGGTGCCCAGGTGTTTTTTGTTGTTGTTGTTGTTGTTATTGTTCTATTTCATTTAAGGCTTTGGGGAAAGACCTGAAGAGTGCCATGCCCGCCCCACGAAGAGGGCAAGGACAATACTGTCATATGTCCTCTAAGGGTAGCATGGCCTCCCAGTCCCATCTTCCTGTGGTCCTCATAGATTTTTTTTTTTTTTTTTTTTGTACTGGGAATCAAACTCAGGACCTTGCACTTGCCAGGCAGGTGCTTGTGCTGCTGAGCTATATCCCCAGCAGTAGTCACAGATTTTAAGACCTTCCTTGGTTACATGTAACAGACACACAGTACTCCCAGGGCACTGTTAGGGTCTCTAACGTGCTGCTCCCCAGGACTCCACCTCCCTAGAGAAGCAGCAGGTGTCGGGGAGATGGGCCCTCGTACCTGGTGGGCCCAGAGTCCAGGACATCAGTGCTCCAAGGTTAGCCTAGGACAGCGACCATCCTGGGAAGGGGCAGGACTGCCTCAGGATCCCACTCACTCACTGCCCTCGATGGGCAGTGAGCCCCAGCTGAAACGAAGGGCTTGACTTAGTTCCATTCTAAGAAATCTACAAATTTTTAAAATGTCAGAATTGACACATGAGGAAAAAACAAGTGTTTTTCAGACCTCTGATCCGATCCTGGGCCGAGCATCTGCTCCCTTCCTGGGAGAAGGCAGGTGTTTGGCCTCCAGGCCTCTGAGAGAGGAGGAGAAAAATCATCAGCAGGTGTGACGCCACAGTTCCAGCCCTCACCCCAGACCCCACCTGCTGCCAGCAGCCCTACTGTGTGCCTGGGAAGGAGGAGGCCAAAAAACAAAGGGTGCAGGCTTACACCAGGGGCCAGGCCAAAGATTTCAGGGTTCCTGTGCACGGGCCCCAGCTTGAGGAAGCACTTGGGAGATGACATGGACCCTTGCCCACAAAAGAGCTGGGAAAGGGAAGGGGAGGCTCAGGAGCTAAGGAGATGGATTCAGGACTCCTGGTGGTTAGTGCAGACACAGGGCTGGCTGACCCCTGGGCTGCAGCCAGGCAGACATTAGTCCTGCCTGGTACCCGTTAGGAGAGTGAGCTGGGACCCTGGACCTTGGGTACCCCTGCTGATAAGTGGGGCTAAGGACTGAAAGCAGTCACATGGGAAGATGCTTTGCAAGAGTGCTGGCATTCAGGAAGGACTCAAGAAACATGGCAGAGGCCCTGATGAGCGGCCACGGGGAAACAAAGCTGGTGCTAGAAAGTTCCGTGCGCCACACAGGCAGGAAGCTTATGCAGCTGTATATGGGTGGCTGTATGTGTATGATGTGTACATGCAAAGGACACTGGACTTCCCTAACCAAGAAAATATATTTATTTAATAACTTTTTAGAAAGAAGCGCTCATCCAGCAGAGCAGAACTAGCCGAAGTCCACTTGGACACTTGCAGTAAAGGTAAGACTTGGGGTGAGGGGTCCCATGCTGGCCTCCCCCCAGGGGACAGGGGTGGGTGGACGACAAGGGACGTGGGCGAAAAGCAGCCTGGGCCGCACTCAGGATGGAAGGTCACAGAGTTGGTTTGTCTGTTAAAAAAAAAAAAGCTATTATGTGTTCGGGGGACTCAGTACCTCTGTGTAGATACTGGAGCTGCTATAATTAGCAGGTCCAGCCAGCTGTCTTGTCTCTCTTGTGACATCAAATGAGCCCAAACGAGATGGCAATGACAGCAAGGAGACCTTGGGGGAGATGGAGGCCCCCTACTTTTGTGATCTGGGCACTGGTTAGGGCACAAGGCTGGTCACATGAACACCAAGGACTTAAGTTAGCCTCTTGGGCTACAAGGGTCAACAAAGGTCCATAAATGACCGCCAACAATGCCCCTGCACACCTGCACCAGCCTGAGACACCTACCAGAAGTGAATCTGCCTCTGCCTCTGCCTCTGCCTCTGCCTCTGCTTCTGCCAGTGGGGGATCCTGCACCCTTATCCCCCAGCTTAACTCTGTCAAACAGGGGTTCCTCTCCTGTTGCTTACAAAGTGCTCCCCTGGGGAGGCAGAGCCTCTTCCATTCTGAAAATGGGGACTTGGAGGCTCCCGCTCTGGCTCTAGCTCCTCCAGCCCCAAAGCCAGGTCCTCTTCCTATGCCTTGAAGTCACCATTTCCCGGGTCACCGCAGCTCTCGGCCTACAGTCAGTCCTGCAGCAGGGTCCACACGGCCACTAGGGCGTCAGGTAGGGCAGGGGGCTGCCAGAGACATGGGTGGGCTGAAAGTTAAGGCCAACGCCAGGCAAAAACAAATGGACCTGTGCGTGCATCCACTACTTAGACACAGCAGGACAGGGCCTCTGCAGTTAGGGTCCCAATTTATAACAGCAGCTAGTGACACTGAGGTAGGGCTAGGGTCCCTGAGGTCCACCTGCCTGGCCAGGCCCCTCAACTACCGTTCTCCAAGGACAGCCCTCAGGCATCTCTCAACATGCCCCAATGTAAGAAGATACCCACACCTTCCTAGCACAGATGGGGAAACTGAGAGCCCAGAAAGGAAGGTTAGGCTGGAAGTCAGGACCTGCGCAGGCCTGGCAACTGTAGGGGCGCCATCCCTGCCCCCCTGCCTTGAAAGGCAAGTCCAGGTTCAGGAGCAGCTGATTGGCTCTGCGATTTGGGCAGTGCGGAGAGGAGAGCCTGCTCCTCTGTGACCCTCTCTCCCCCTCCCAGGGTTATTCTGGGCAGTGTGAAGCAGCTGCCCCCTGGAGGTGCCAGTCAATCGAGGAGGGGCTGGGAGGAGGCCACAGGGACACTGACTGGGTCACACACGCAGCCTTTAGTCCAGGGTGCCCTTAGGGAGGTGAGGGCCAGGGTAGTCGAGGGTCCTGCACTCAGCCCTCCACCTGCCATCCCTTGCTGTCTGCCCTGATTCATGGTGGCCCCCTTCGAGATGCCTTTACCCCATCACTGCAACGATGCCCAAGGCCCACAGGGGCCTGACACTCAAAGGTTCCGTCCAGGCCACCACACAAGGAAGACGATTAGAGATGAACTCCCTTGGGCGAAGATGCGAAGTCCTCCCACCTGTGAGGCCGACTCAGACTTAACCACAAACCAGAGTTGGATGGGCAAGGTGAGGGTGCTGGTGGGGGGGAGCCCGTGAGGGGCTGTGCTGGGCCAGCTGGTCCTGCAGCCTGCATGGCCCCAGGAACAAGCCTGACCGGAGCTTCTCATGGAGACCCCGCCCCTCCTCTCCCCCTCCCAGCAGCCAGGGTAACAAGAGGACCTGGCCCGACAGCCTGTCCCCACCAAGCACATCTTAGCCTGGGCTTGTGCCCAGGGAAAAGCATAAATGGCCATGCCCTTGCATGCCCACCGTCCTGCTGCTTTAGTCCACCCAGTGCCCAGGGCAGGGGGAGGGGCAGTGCACCGGGTTGATGCATTTGGAGGCCACTTAGCCCCTGCACCTTCACACTCACGTGGCTCGGATCACCTAGAAGGAGGCCAGCATGACAGGGGGGTTCACCTGACACCCATCTGCCAGCTCCGGGCTCCAGCCCTGACTGGACAGGGGCCATGACTAGCACGCCAGGGGAGTAACAGGGTGACCTCCTTTCCCCTCCTGCTGCACTGACTCTGTCTTCCCGCCCAGCTCCCCAGGAGCTCAGGGACCTTCTGCCTCCTCCCATCTTCACCTCTCCCCTAATTCCTCCACCCCATGCCCCACACCCCACATCCCACTCTGCTCCTAAAATCCTCTCCTCTTCCAAGCTCTGTTTTTAAAGTCAGATCTCCCTGACTGCATAGGGAGAGGCATTCTCAGAGGGAGCTGCCCCCTCTCCCCCACGCATGAGAGACGCTCAAAGGCAGCTCTGACCCCCACTCCCGGCCACTTGCGCACAGGCAAGTGGGGAGCTGATCCGACTGTGGCTGTGGCTCTGGCTCTGGCGGTGGTGAGGCTGGCGTGTCTGTCTTAGTGTTGAGGGGTAGAATATCCCTTCAGTGATCTGAAGGGAAGTTCTGACCCCAAACACTAAGTACAGATTCTTTTTTCTTTCTTTTGGGCCTGGTGGGAATTTCAAAAGCAGTAGCAGTACTTTGAAAAGAAACTGTTCTTGGGCTTGAGACCAGCCTTTACGGAGATGCATTTGAAGCTCGCTCCATGGGGCCGGGAACGGAGGAGGGGTGGGCTGCTAGGAGGCAGAGGCGACAGGGGAAGCCCTAAAACCACGGCAGGAGTGCAGAACTGAGGTTGTGAGATACCCAAAGCCCACCCGTGGGGCAGCCTGGGAGCCGAGCTTCAGAGGAGGCACATGCCAGAGAGTCCCCCATCCTGCCCCCCAACCCATTCTCACTTCTGGCAGTACTTACTCCCAAGGGCAGGGACCTCACCTCACTGGCAAAGAGGGCAAGGCTGGACAGGGCAGGGCTTTTTGTGTGGGGTTCTAGCACCAAGCCTGGCCCAGAAAGAACATGAGGATGTATTGCTGTAGGAACTAGGGAATTATTGGTTTTTTACAAGCAGAAAGTTCTAGAAACAATGACGTCAAGATGTGGGGGTGAAAAATCTGCTCTTTCCAGGTGTAATAAGCAACAGAGCTCTAAGTTAAAAACTTTGTTTGCATGCAAAGGGATTTAGGGTCTATAGTGTAAGAAAGAAAGTGCAACAGAGTTTCAACACGAGATGTACTTGAAGGTCTACCACTGGGAAAGTCAGGGTTAAACACAGAGGATTCAAAGCCGGAGTTTCATGAACAGACTTGGGCTTTATGGGAAGAAACTGGGATGTTTATTTTGAGGGTCCTAATTTTATATCGTGTTAAGGAGTATGGATTTTCACCAAAGGGTTTTAAGAGTGTGATGGAGAGATTGTTGTTTATGGAAGACAGGCCTACAGGAAAACATGATAAAATATATATATCATGGGGCCAGGGATTTGGCTCAGTGGCACAGCACCTGCCTGGCAAGCGCAAGGTCATGAGTTCGATCCCTGGTACTAAAAGAAAAAATAATTTTGTGTATGTGGTTAAGGGCATTGGACATTATATTAAAAACAACAGGGAAATACTGGAAAAGTTGTAAATCGAACAGAAACGGCCATAAATTTAAGGATCACGTCTCAACATTCTGACTTTGTAAATTGGGGAAAGGCCTGATTGGTTGGACATGCCAAGGAGACATGATTAACGTTGACAGCGTGGTTGAAAGATTTTAACCAGAGCTGTTACATGATCATCACTGTGAATACGCAAAGAAATTTGGAATTTATTTAGAGGTCTGGACACGAGGGGATCCTTGCACATGCCTAGGAATTTGATTTAGCCAATAAAAAGTTCTAACACAGTGACACAGTGAGGCTTCTTGTTGTTTGAGAAATTGCACTCCAAGAAACTGCAAAATAAAATTCACACTTTATGTCAAGAATCTGGACTTGTGTGCCACAGACAATTAAGAGACACTGTCAGGTTTTTAAGGCAAAATTATAAGATCAAGCTTAATGCATTGTACTAGGAAGTGTGAATTTTATTTTAAAGGCTGACATGATCATATTTTATATCATGCTAGTAAGTTTGGATTTAAACCAATAAATCGCTTATAACTGTGACAGGGTGAGATTGGATTTTGGTATGTGTATGTTTTTTTATAAACCAGCCTGGTGACAAATTACAGGGGGAAATGCTGTGTTTTATGTTAAGGACTTGGGACTTTAGGTTTCAGACTTTTGGAAAGTCCTAAATTGAGAAGTATCATGTTCTAATTTATGCATCGTGGCATGGCTAAGAGGAAAATAATATGATCATACTTTTATACCGCAATAAAGAGATGGGTGTGGGCACTGACGGCACTGGAGTATCCTGACCTGAGGAGTGAGATAGTACTGTTCGTGAATCCTCACGCAGAGAGAAGTGTTTGGAGTTTAGCCAGCAGTGTGTTGGAGGTGTAAATTGAGGAGAGCTTTGTCTCCAGAGGAATCGTATGGTAGAACATGCTTTACGGTAGTGTCTGGATGGGCTGAACCAGGTAAAAAATAAGCAGAGACTGTTCCAGCAGGAATCACCCTTGGCACCAGGGCACCTGGCCTGTGTTCAGAGCTGAGAGATGGGTCATGTAAACGCTGGGCGAGGAAAACAAGTTGTGTGGTTGAATAGACACAGCCTTCTCAGAAGTTTGGACAGTCTTGAAAAATGATAAGATCGCATTTTTATGCCATGCTGAGGAATTTGGACTTCAGCCATTCAGAGATTTTCAGAGAGTAATGTAGTTTTTGGTTGGATGGTAGTTTTGTTCTGAGTAATGTGGTAGTTTGTTTTATTTTTTTTTTTTCACTGCAGGGATACTAGAGAGTAAAAATGTATTATGTCTAATGGTGTAGACATTATCTCAGAGGTAATTCAGAGACATTATAAGGCTCTACGCAGAAGTTACACTAGCAAATTCTATACCTTGCAAAAAATGTGACCTTTTAGACTGAGAAAATAATGCGGCCAGATTTTTATAGCATGCTAAGAGGTTTGGAATTAAAGCTATTCAGAGGTCTCTGGAGTGACTTTTCAGGTTGTACACTCTGCACTGATCAACTGGCATATAAACTCCATGGCAAAAGCTTTTATTTTATGCTAAATGGTTGGAATTTCATGTTATAGGCAACAAAAAGGAAATTGTATATGTTTTAATTAAAGAAATTATGGAATTGTTATATTTATGAGGCTAAAAATTTTAATGTGGATGTTAAGTATTAAAATGAGGTTTTGATAATATGCAATGGGTAGTAGATTTTAGGTTGAAGGCAGGAAAGTGTAAGGATTGAATTTCTATATATCAAATGCACAACTCTGTTAAGAAGTATAGACTTTATATTAGGACGGTCTATTCAGATTTGTAATTCTCTTAATAAAGGATTTTAAGTGAGAAATATGCTGAGATTTTCATTTCTGATAAGGATTGAGTCTGCAGATGTCTTAAATAAAATTTGTATTTCAACTATTTTATATTAGAAACTTGGAATTTTAGAATAATACATACCTTAGAGGACTTTTGTGAAGAGGAAATGAGTTAATTTATTCAATGTGTAATGCATATGGTTCTGTGATGATGATTTTACCTAATTTGTACCACGCTAAAAAAATATGATCTCTACCTTAGGGAATGATATGTCAGAATTCTGTATAATGCTAAACCCTTTGCATTTTAGCCAAAGAATGATTTTGGTGAGTTTACATGTCAGATATGTTTATTCTAAAACGTTTGGATTCAATAATGCAGACAGTAAATAAACATTCAAAGGCTTTAATCAGAGGGATTGCATGATCAAATTTAAGTGTCATGCTAACAAGGGTACACTTAATTTTGAGAAACAGCAGATCTGAATTTTGTGTCCTGCTGGAAAGTGGATTTTAGTCAATGAGGAATTTTGGGTATATATCGGCATGGTGGTTTTAAGAAAAACACTGAGAAATAACAAAAGGTGTTAAATTCATAAAGAGCAATAACTGTATAGCTGGTCTACTGAATACTCAGAGCTCCATTTGCTCGGCCCACAGAAAACAAATGTGCAAATAACCCTGAAGCAGGTATCTCCTGAAATTTAGCCTAAACCCACTAAAACCACCCACTGTTAGATGTTCAAAACCTTGAAAGCAGATTTCAAGGATATATAGTGCCCTCTCTGACCCCAGATCACATCTCTGCAAGATTCACCTTTAAGCTGGAAGAGGTTAGCCAGTGACAAACACCAGGGGATTAGCCAGGATGAGAGCAGCCCTGCCTCAGAGAGAAAAGAACCAGGAAGGGAGGACTACAGTACATCAGCACGAGCAGAAGATGGGAATCCTGGGAAAGGAGAGGGTGCAGCAGGGGCAGGGCTATTGGACAGTGTACTCCATAGCTGAGAGCTGGACAGGACATGGCATTGCAAGGCCAAATTGGGCAAGAGAAATCCCTAAAGAATGTGACCTGGTATCCAGCACCTAGGGTTCAAGTACCCAACTCACAGGTATTCTATAAACATGTATGGGGGTAAAAGAGCCGGAATCCAGACTTCTATGTCTCACCCCCCAAATTTTGACACTAGAGGAGAAAGTATTTGGGGCTGCTGATCCAGTGATGTGGGATAGTGGTCAGGTGCCCATTCTTGCCTCTTCCACTAAGTGACTTATAAAACAGTAGGTGCTTTCCTAGACAGTCCCCTTCTACACCACAGCACAGGGCCAGACAGAGGTGCATCTGAACGGCACTCGGACGTGGGACTTTCAGGTGGCCAAAGAAGGAAAGCAGGGTTGACCAGGTACATGACTTAAGAGAAATGGGGCAGCTTGCCAGGGCAAATACTTGGGCCAGTCCCTACACACCATTCATAGGCGATGAGTTCCTCACACCGTAGCAGAAGCAGGGAAGCCAGGTAGAGATTCTGTTTAGGAGGCAGCAGAGTTTTTGTCCCGCAAGAGATGCCAAGGGGCCAACCCAGGACGACAGGCAACATTTCCATGGTTGTTCTTTGTTCTGATGGTTTAAGCGTCTGATTTGTTCTTGAGAACCCAACCTTGACCTCTAGAAACCCTAAACTGCTGCCTTTACTCCCGGCCCCACCCTTTCTTCCCATAGGTTTCTGATTCCCAGGTTCCAATGGCTGACCAGGTGCAACGCGACCTTACCAATCTTGAGGAAACTCTCCTTCCAACCGACGAAATGATGGAACCCTCTGAAGACTCATTTGAGACGATGATGGAGCGTAAGAATCCATCATCAAAACAAATGGAGTCCTCTGAGGGCTCATCTAACACCGCTGAGGGGAAGGAGAGCAGTGGAGCGCGGGAGACGGAGGGGCCGGCTGAGGGCCCAGCGGAGGAAAGCAAGGAGCATCCCAGTGGCTCCCGCCAGGAAGTAGAAGAGCTGCCTACTGATCTACTCCAAGACATGGAGGAGCCATCCAGTGGCCCGCATAGGGAAATAGAGGATCCACCCAATGACCTACTCCAAGACATGGAGGAGTCATGCTATGGTTCTGACCAGGCAACGGAGGATCCACTCCCTGAATCATCTGATGAAACGGAAGAAACATCAGTTATCCCGGCAAGCTCTGAGGAATACGAAGATGATGATGATGACGACACTAACCTGGCATCTGAAGGGTCGAGTTTTGAAGATGACACCACCGAGAGTGACGAGTCTGGTGACGACGTCAGGGACACCATCAGGTCCATCATCTCGCTGTACTTCCGGATGCAAGACATGCATGAGCAACAAAGAGTGGCAGAAGAGATCTTGGTGGAGGGGATCAATGCTGGCCGACTGCCCTGCCCAAGACCCTTCACTGGGGACCGCAGAGAGTTCTACGAGTTCATTGTGCTCTGCCAAATGATCTTGCAAAACTACCCAACCAGGTTCTACAACGACCGCCTGAGAGTTCAGTATGTCATCCACCACTTCACTGGCTTAGCCTTGGAATGGGCCCAATCTCTGATCCAGCAAAACAGCCCTGTGCTAGAGAATTTCACAGCCTTCCTAGAGGCTATGTCCGAGGTGTTTGAGTACAAGAGCACACTGCGTGTGGCAGAAGAGGCCATGTTCTACATCAGGCAGGGAAACCGCACCGCCACCGAATACATCACTGAGTTCCAGAGCCTGATTCCTACCTTGGGCTGGCCAGATGAAGTCCTGCAGGCCCACCTGTGCCAGGGGCTCAGTGAGGACATCAGGCACTGTCTGTTCCGGATCCCTCAGCCGAACTCCCTGGACAATCTGATCGTGCTCATCCTGCAAATAGAAGACAGGCTGGAAGAGAGAAGGGCGATGCTCAGGCTGCCCCCAGAGGCCCGCCCACGTACCATGTCCTGGATTGACTCACCTGCTCCGGAGAGGTGGACAGTGAGCAGCTGGCTGCCCTATTCATTCCATCCGGGCATCAATCGCGCCCATCTCTTCGTGCTGCTCCTGGTGAGGGTGAACCCCTACCACAGCGTCGCCGTCCAAGCTCTGGTCGACTCAGGATCGGTAGGCAACTTCATGGATGAGAAGTTTGCCCAAGAGCACTACGTCGAGCTCTATGAGAAGCCCTACCCAGATGTGATCCAAACCATGGATGGCTCGCTGGTGGGCGAGCAACCTGTCTGGCTCTACACCGAACGCCTGGTGTGTATGCAGCAGAATCACCAGGAGTCCATCGAATTTGACATCATACCTTCACCGAACTTCGCCATTGTCTTGGGCATCACCTGGCTCCGACTCCACGCTCCTGACGTCGACTGGGTCAAAGGCCGCCTGACCTTCCACTCTCCCTACTGCCTGAAGCACTGCTTCCGCCCAGCCCCACCATGCATCGCCCTGGAACACTACAGCATAAGCCTGCTGCCCGGATTGCCGCACCCATACTCAGACCTGGCCGACGTGTTTAACCCGAAGGAAGCAGATGATGAGACTTCCGACCAGCCAAGCTCAGACGGATCCGATGATCTTTCTGAATCAGAGCCCTCTGAGCTTCAGCAGGCTGGAGACAGTGATCACAGCGAGATCTTTTACGAGTATCCCTCCAACTTTCCCTGGATGCCTATGGGTGGCAGGATGCAAGAAGAAGCCAGGCTGCAGGAAGAATACTGGGAGCTGTATGACATGCTGACCGACACACAGGACTACGTACAGATCATTCCAGAACTGTTTGACCAGTTACATGGAGCTACATGGTTCACGAGACTAGAGCTGCGTGGGACCATCGTGGAAGAAGGAATGTTCGAGAGCCGGACAGAAGACACATGGAAAGCAGCGTTCGGTTTGCAGCCACAGGACATGAAGAGCTACGAACCCTTCGAACTATCCTCAGACCCTATCATCCCCCAGAACGTGATTCACTTTATCCTGAAGGACATGCTAGGCGTCTTCGTGCTCTCCTATGGGCAGGAAGTACTGATCTACTCCATGAGCCAGGAGGAGCACGTCCAGCACGTTCGCCAGGTGCTGGTCCGCTTCCGGTACCACCGGGTCTACTGCTCCCTAAGCAACAGCCAGTTCCACCGACATAGCGGCGAGTTCCTGGGCTTTCACCTGTCCCCCAAAGGGGTAAAGATCAACAAGGGCGTCTTAGACGTGATCTTGGGCTACGGCACCCCATGCTGCAGGAGGGAGCTCCAGAGCATGATTGAGTTCATGTTCCCCTACCGACACTGGGTGGAGCGCTTTGCCGTCATTGCAGAGCCCCTGGTGCGGCTGGTGCTGAGCTTCGACCCCTTCTACTGGGGAGAGGAGGAGCAGGAGGCCTTCGATTGCCTGCAGCGGGCTTTCCGCAGGGCACCCCTTCTCTACCACCCGAAGCCCCAGAACCCGTTCTACCTGGAGACGGGCATCACCAACTCTGCCCTGCACACCTGCCTGATTCAAGTTGATGAGCACACTGGCAGAAGAGTCACCTGCGCTTTCTACTCCCGAAACCTCTCTCCTATCGAGGTTGAATACCCCCTAGTGGAGCTGAAGATCCTTCCAGTCCGGGCTTCCTTCATGGTGTGGTGCCGCTACCTGGAGAACACCGAGGAGCCCATCATGATCCTTCTCAACACAGAGGATCTAGCCTCTCTGAATAATGACAGGCTCACCGTACTTCTCCCCGGGCATTGGGTCTTTTTCTTCTCTCACTTCAACTTTGACATCATGGAGCTGTCCGAACTGGATGGCAGCTGGCCCCCGACGTTCATGAGCTGCTACAACCAGAGAGCCTTCAGAAACAGAGTTGCGCGTCCCATCCTGTTCTTAGCCACAAGGGGTTGCCCCCGGGATGAGACAAGCGACTCTGAATCTGAGAGTGACAACTTCTCAGAGCAGGGTGAGCTGAACGAATTGAGCCTACAGCAGGAGCTTCTGGCCCTCATCCCCGTTGGTCGCATCCTCCACAGCTTCCTGACACACTTCAGCGTGGCCCAGATCCGGTCTGTCCTTCTGCACTTCTTCAGAGGCGTCCTGCACTGGAGGAGCCTCCTAGCACCCGCATCCCTGCTGGTGATACTGGAGGCCAGAGAGGGGCCCACGCTGCTGCCGGTCCCTGTCACACAGATGGCACGGCCTCCGCCGCGGCGCTTGCTGTGCCTCATCGTGGACTCCACGGTCACCGTGTGCAACAGCATGGCCATGGCCATAACCCAGATGTTCAGCCAGTTGCCGCCTTTCATTGGTGCCAACCCCATGCCCGCTCACGAGCTGGCTGACCTCTTCCTGAGCCCCCACCGCTGGCAGAGAAATGCCCTGGCCCCTCTGCCTCCCCCAGGCCTGCGGTTCACCCCCGGCTTCTGGCTGATGCTGTGTGAGTTCTTCAGGGTCCGGACCACTCGCACGCTGCCTGGACACCTTGCCCTGCCACCCAACCGGTACATGGAGCTGCACGTCGTTGGCGATGAGGATGTCGTCTTGCGAGAAGCCCTGCAAGACGACCTGCAACGTTACCGTCAGTGTGGCCTGCATGACGGCCTGCAAGACACCTCGCAGGACGCGCAGGACAACGACGTGCAGGAGATGCCATCCCCTGATGAGGCTGCTGCTGCTGAGGCCCAGCTCCGCCCACGCAACCTGATGGACCCAGAGATCCTTGACATCCTCAACAGCCACCTGCTCTACGTGCCTGGCCCCGACGGCCGGCCCAGCCTGCTCAGCAGGGAGCAGGTGGCCCAGGCCTTAACCCAGTTCCTCACCACTGTCTGCACGCGGGTGGCACATGCCCCCGCCCCTGCTGAGGACCAGTCCCGGGGAGAAGCGAGCCTGGAAGAGCTCCCAGACCTCGAAGATGCCGACTAAGACACCTCCTCTCCAGCCCGGAGGCGTCTCCACCCTTATCTGACCCAGCTTGCCAATGTCTCTGCCAGCTCCCTGTGCTTCAACCAGCTTTGCACAGACCCGGTGCCCTCTCCTGCCACTCCTGACCCAAGGGGAAGCCACTTGTGAAGGGCCTAACTTCAATTCATCAACCAGCAACATCTTCTGTGCTAAAGGACTATCCAACGCTCAGAGACCTGGCGCTCAGAGCTATGTGAGGGCTACAACACAACCCCGTCTTAATCCTCCAGGTCCCAGGCCCAAGCCTGACAGAGAATCAGAGAAAGGAGAGTGCAGAGATGAGCAGGGGTGGCCCCATGACCCACGGCCAGATGCAGTAGCAGCGACACAGCAGGTGCAGCCAAGCAAGCAGATGCTGGGCCCCCCGCCACCCCAGTGCATCCTGGGACACTGACCTCGGGTGCTCCATGGACTCCGTCTACCTCCACCTCGGTGCTCCTGCTCCCCTGGGCCCCTACCCACCCACCCCCACCCAGCCTCCCGAGGTCCTAGGCGAGGTGCCACCCACCGCCCATCCCACCCCGAAAGCAAGCCCGCCCCCACGGTCTGGTTCGGCTCCCGTCACATGGACTTCATCTGACCCTGAGCTCTGGTCTTACCTGACTGCCACTTCAGAGCGTCCGACGTGCCAATGCTACTTACCTGCTGGACTTGCCCAGCTGGATGCCCCAGAGACCTGGGGATGCTCCAGTGGGCGGCTGAACTGAGCAGACTCCCCTGCCCTCCCACCATGGACACTGGACACTGGACACTGTGGGGCCTCAAGGCCCCATGGAGGGAGGGGACCCTCAAGAGACTGCACAGGCACCAGACGCCCTGCCTCCTGTGCCAGGGAGCCAAGGGTGCTCCGACCAGACCCCCGCTTTTTGCCAAAGTAAAAGGAGACTTTCCTTTGCTCTTTCCTATCCCACCTTTTCTTAACCCCAAAGTAAAGCAAAACAAAAGATTATCTGACTCTGTGGTTTGTTCTCAAAGGTGGGGCAAGTTGGGGCTGGGAACAGGCAGGTTGGAGGAACTACACGCAGTGGAGGAGATGGGAAGGGGGTGGGGTGGGGCGGGGCAGGCTGGGCACACCTCTGAAGGTATCCTCTTCAAGACCCCAGAGTCCTGCCTCCCACAGGGAAGCCACCCCACTCCCACGTGGACATGGGTGCCCATCCTTCACAAGCTCATCCAAAGGGGGCCTTCAAGGATGCATGAAACTGGGGTGCTGAGGGCAACCCCTGCCCAAGGGGGAGGACCTAGATCCCCAGTGCCCTCTGGGCCAAAGTTCCTCATGTCACAAGGGACAGTGTGGGCAGCCTGGCCTCCAGAAATCTCCATCCCCAGCACTGTGGGGGAGGCCTGGGGCCCTGGGCCCCTACCCCAAAAGTGGTCAAGTGGCTGCTCCAAGTGTGTGATGCCCTGGAAGTAAAAGGAGTCCCCAGAAGGGCTAATAAAGCAGCAAAGGTGACACTCTTTGCGGCCACCATACCACAGTCCAGCACATGGTCGCCCTGCCTGGCCACATCCCCCCATCCAGGAGTATCCTCTGACCTCCCAGCCTGTGCCCAGCACCCCCCATGGGCAGGGACTCCACACCTGGCACAACCTCACATACCAACGACACTAACCCACCCCAGGATCGGCCCCCAACTCTGCCCTGACACCACTCAACAGGAGAGGAGCTGGTATCCCTGAGTGCCAAGTCCAGGGACCCCAGCTGTACCCTCCTATGGCCCCTTCTACCAGGACTCACTAGCACTGACAGGAGCAGGGCTGGGACTTTACTGTGTCCCACTGGGCCCCCAGGGATGACCAGCTGTCACCCACCACCTACTCAACTGTCTAAAGACTATACCCCCGACAGCAGCACCCAGAGATCATGGGCAGGTCTCTGGGATCAAGGTCAGGGGCTCAGCTCCCCCCAGCCCTATAGGATGACCCCTCCCAGCCTCAGTTTACCTATCTGTCACCCAGACTCATGAGGGTGGCTTTGTGAATCCAAAATGGCCACAAGTAAGCATCAGGAGCAGCTAACAAAAGGAGTTCCCACTCTCCCCACCCCACGGGCCTTCGACTGTCACTCCTCCAGAAATAATTTGGGGACATCAGGGACCAGAGAGGGCTGTATACAGCTGAGGACGGAGCCAGGCCTGGGGCCCCTGCCTGGTGGCCTTTGTCCTCTCACCGTGGACCACACCATCCACAACCCTCAGGTTCACAGGCCCAGCGAGTGACCTGGTCACAGAAAACCCTGCTCCTGCCTTGCTGGCCACCTCGGAGAATGGCCACACCCCTCCAGCTGCTTCTCATGATTAAAGGGAAGAGTGGGGTCTCAAGGAGAGACACAGTCACCAAGGGCTCCCTAAAGGTCCCCTCTTGTGGGTGGAGTCGAGCCCCAGGGGCAGGGAGCTGGGGGCAGGAGTGATCCGATCACTGAATCAATGTGGCCACTCCTGGGGACCCCACCAGCTAGACTTTAGGGCAGACCTCGATCCCTATCGGGGAGGTGCAGGGTGGTGGGTGAGGGGATGAGCTCTGTGCCCCCGGCCCAGGAACTGTAAGGACCCCAGCCTTGCCAGCTGAACCACATGGGCTGAAGCTGAGCAGCGGCCACCAAATGATCAGCCCAGCCTGCAGGGATCAGACGCCCCCTGAGGTGGATGTCTGCACAGACGCGCACACCATTCTGGGCCCACCTGCCAACCACCACGCCATCACCCCGTCCATCAGAAGGGGTCTTGAACCCAGGTCCGGAAGACTCAGCAGCCCCCAAACCAAGGGTTGTCCCCAGCCCCAGGGGACAATTGACAATGAGCCACCCTCCATGGTTACAGTGGCCCTATATCTTCCTAGGGAGAAAAAGCATTAAAAAAAAAAAAAAGAAAAACACAATACAAACCTTATTTGTCCTGAAAAACAAAAACAAAACAGAAGGAAGACAGGGAAAAGCAGATATTAAAGGACATACCAAGGCAGGGCACCGCAAAACCATGAGAGCAGAGTACAGCCCCTGGCTGCCCTGCCCAGCAGGCTGCTGCTCTGCCGGCTCCTGCACACTGTACCACCCGCCGGGCCACCAAGCCAGCTCTGACAGCACCCAGGGACCCGACCGTCCCACTTGTCCTTGACCCTGGCTGCCCCCCATCCCGTTCATCCCCACATTACGACCCCAAGACTCCAGTGCCCAGCTGGGCACATATCAGGTGACTTCTGGAACCCGCAGTGTCACAACTCACCTGCCACTGTGGCCTACTCCTCATCCCTCCGGTGTGTGTGCCCTCTGCAGGGTGGTGGGGCCCTGACGCAGGGCCCTGTGCCAGGAGCATCTCCAGACCCTGAGACTCGCCCGGGACAGTGGCGGAGCCCCCTCCACATCCACCCTAGCACCCTGTTCTGCTTTCAGCTAAAGGACTTCGATGACACAGAAGCCATCACCCAACCCCCTTGCCACCCGCCACTCGCCCGTGGGCACTGCTGGCCCTGGGCACACTCAGTCATGGCCCACACACATCACATGTGACCGCAACCCCAACAGCCTGGCATGGTTTGGACTCTGCCCCCCAAGAGATCTGCCGTGAGGGTAAAAGGAGGGGCTGAGAAGGCTGGGGGTTCAGGCTCCCTCTCGCCAATGGCTCCACACAATGGGCAAGGCCAACCCACCCAGTGCCCCACTGTGCCCAGGCTGGCTGCTGCGGCTAGTTATGCAGTTAGTGACACCAGGGTCCCCTCCACCATGCAGGGCCTGCGTGGGAGGGGAAGGCAGGAGACAGAGGGTTCAGCGGGTGCCTGGCGGCACCCACCTAAGCAGGGCACAAGAGGGAGGGTGACCCCAGGACCAGGGAGAGGGGTAGGGGTGTGGGAAGATGAGGAGTCTCTGGAAGGAGAGGAAGAGGCCGCCTATGAAGGGCCTCAGCCTCCTGGTCATGAAAAAGTCCTGGGTAGAGGCAGAGACCCCTTAAGGAGACCCTTCTCAGGGACATTGCAAAGGGGCAGTTATGCCCCCCATTCTAGAATAAGGGGACCACGTTACCCATGTCCTGGGAGCTGGGTCCTCTCAGAGGGCACTGTGCAGCCCTTTTAGTAGGAGGAGCCCCAGGTTAGGCCCAGGCTCTGCCTCTGGAGGGTCTGCTCTGGACCACAGACTTCTAGGGGGACCCTAGGCCCAGCCCCAGGGAGCATCCCATGGGGGCTCAGCCTTCTTTCCAAACAGGGGACGCCGGAGATAGCCCAGCCCAAGGCCCACCCCTCCAGGATCTTGGGGAGCTGCGGCAAGGAGAGAGAGGAGAGGAGAGGAGGGAGAGAGACAGAGAGCCAGCCCACAGAGCATGCTAGGACAGCAGCAAGCTGGAGGACACGTCCCGTGCAGCCGAGGGTGCAGAGGAGGGTCCGGGGGCTGCTCGTGGTTGAAGAGGATGAGGAAAGGCATCATATAGGAGCTGAATAACTGTGCAATCAACTCCTGTATGAAGCCGTTCCCACCCCCCAACTCCTGACTACGGGCCGCGACCCTCCTCCCGAAGCCCAATGCAAGCGCCCAGAAGGCAGGTGGGAGGCCTGCTTCTAGTGGTTAGAGCAGCGACAGAAAGCGACAGCCAGCCCGGGCACGGGGCACCACCTGCCCCACCCCAGCCTGTTTCATCCAGCCAGGACCTGAGCCCAGGAGACCGTGGAGCCAGGGCAGGGGACAGAGGAGAAGGAGGGCTCAGGGGAGGCCGTGGGAGGGGGGCGCAGGCATCTTCTCCCCAGCCACCTGCCCAGCCTCGCCACGGCCTCTGAGAGTGAGGCAGCCACAGCCACTCTGGAGACTTGGCAGGAAGTTGGTCTCCCTGAGAGCAGGCACACCTGGGGCTGCGTGGGGCAGGAGCGGGGGCGGAAGGGAGGCAGCGGTTGGCTACTGGTTCCTCTCAGAGTGGTGAGAACGACCTCACATTGGCGTGGCCGTCTGTGCACTATGCACCTTAGCAGGTCGGTCACACAGGAGCAGACTGTGTCTTGAACCGGTCGTGTCCCAGAAGATCTTCTTGTTCCCACACAACTGTCTCAGCCCTGGCATCCTCCTTCCCCACCCTGCACTCCCCAGTGCCCCATGGCACCAGCCAGAGCAGCACCCACAGGATTGGTGCTGACATGAGGAAGGCGTTCTGTGTGACATACGTGGGCGGGGCCCGTGACACATACATGATAGGGACACTCTACATGTCACCTTTGTGGAGGAGACTCTGAAGGTAACACAGAGGGAGCCCTGCATGTGAGGAAGACGTGTGTGACAAGAAAGTAAAAGGGGCACACCTTGTGACACATGTATAGAGAAGGCTCTCGGAGTGACACCGATGATGGAACCCAAGTGTGAGGGCTGACACATGAGTGTGCAGGGTTCCGTGTGATGTATGAGTGTGCAGGGCTCTGAGAAGGGCTCTGAGACATGAGTGTGTGCAGGGCTGTGTGACACGTGAGTGTGCAGGGCTCTGAGTTATGCATAAGTGTGTAGGGCTCTGAGTGATGGTTGTGTGTGCAGGGCTCAGAGAGATGGGTGAGTATGTATGGATCTATGTGACACGTGAGTGTGTGGGGCTCTGAAAGAACATGAGTATGCAGGGCTTTGAGACACATGACAGTGCAGGATTCTGAGTGACATATGTATGCACAGGGCTCTGAATGACATGTGAGTGTGCAGTGCTCTGAGTGATGTGTATGTGCAGGGCTCTGAGAGATGGGTGAGTGTGCAAGGCTCTGACACATGTGTGCAGGGCTCTGAATGACATGTAAGTGTACAGGGCTGAGTGATGTATGTGTATTCAAGGTTCTGAGTGACACCTGAGTGTTCAGGGCTCTGAGTGATGCGTGAGGGTGCAGGGTTTTTCGTGATGCAAGTATAACAGGGCTCTGAGTGACACATGAGTGTGCAGAGCTCTGAGTAACACACAAGTGTGCAGGGACCTGAGTAATGTGTGAGGATGCAGGG